TTAACCTGGTCTTTTGGACATACAGAATGTTCAATAGACCCTCGATGATTAGTTAGGATGTGTACAAGTTAGCCCAAACACCCCGTTACCTAAAAAAAAAAAGGGCTTTTTTGTGAAGAGATTTGACTTCTGATTAGGGTTGTTTTCGAGCTGAGCCGAGCCGAGTTTTTGGCTAAACGAGCTCAGCTCGTTTAGGGAGGAGGTGAGTTCAAGTCAAGCCGGACGAGCCGCTGATTTCTTGGCTCTACTCAAACTCGTTAAGGGAGAAGAGATTTCGAGTTTGGCTCGCGAGTTGGTTTAAAGAGCCGAGTTCGAGTCGGCTCGCGAGTCAGCAAGTACATATACATAAGTGCAATACATCCGCTTGCATTAGAAATATATAAAAAAACTAAACAAAGTTATGTTTCGAAGCCATCAAAATTGACCCAGATTCATCAGTCACATGCTGCATCTTCCATCCTAATCGTTTCATATAGTGGTTTTCATTTAGATTAAAAAAAAAAAAACTTACTAAAAGTTGGAATCAAAAGGTATCAGCAACGAGATTGACAACATGAACAATGGGCAACACTAACACGAGCACGACAGCGAGAATAAGGCGGCGACAACAATGACCAGACAACAATGACAACAATAAGAAGCGACAACAATGGGTGACGGCGATGACGATAGTGTGGTGTTGGGCGATGGTGACAACCTGGTGGTGGATTGGGTTAATGAGCCGAGTGTAACAAATCCCACATTGAAAGTGTATTGGGGAGGTCTTGGACTTATAAATGGGAGGAGTCCCTCCACCTAATAGGTTAACCTTTTGGGTGTGAAACTCCCAGCTCGTGACAAGTGGTATCAGAGCAGACCCAATCCGTCTTTCGATGTCCCGCCAAACTTCAAACCAGGGGCGTCCACGTGTGATTGTGGGTCCACACGAGAGTGAGGTGGATGGGCAGGCAAGGGGCCCCACCTGTGACGAGAGCGTCACAGGATTGGGTGGGGGAAAATGTAACAAATCCCACATTGAAAGCGTATTGGGGAGGTCTTAGGCTTATAAATGGGAGGAGTCCCTCCACTTAATAGGTTAACCTTTTGGGTGTGAAATTCCCAACCCGTGACACGAGGCAGGCTCGAACTCAACTCGTTCTCTTTCACAAACCGAGCCTAGTTGGCTCGAAACTATACGAATCAAGCTGTTAACGAGCCAAACTTGAGTTGAGTTGAGCCGACTTGTGAGCCGCTCAGTTCATTAGCCAGCCCTACAATCTGATAGCGTTCATGGGCATAACGCATGTATGTATGTATGTATGAATGATTTGTTTGATTGTTTCCATTAAAAGGTCGTAATCAAGGAAACAATCCCACGACGTCGTGTTGCGGAGGGGTGTCGTTGTCAAATAATAGAAATGGATTTGGCTGCCTAATTTGGTGGGTCCATAAAGAAATTAAGGGTGGGCCATATATACTTTTTCCGTCCATGATTGACGAATCTTAAATGGAGAGTGGATAAGCTTGGCCTTTTCATTTCAAATCCCGCCACGTATATCTCTAAACTCATCTTTCTTTGTATCCATCACCACGTGTCCTCTTCTAGTTTCCACTATAGGTCAACATAATGAACGTCATCAACGGCTTCCCAAAAGCCACGTTTCCAGCATCGCGCGATTGGCGGAGTGATCTACTAACGAGAGCCTTTGTTACATTGGGTGTACCTTCAACCAGACTAATATTATGTGCTCATTTCCTTTAAAAAATACAATAAAGATTATTTCACAACTTAATCTTATAATTTTTTTTTACAATTTTAACGGATTAACTTGTAAATAGTTAGTTCACAATTGGATATACGATATCTATTATTAGGTAGGTAAGACTAGGGATATATACGAATCGAGTCGAGTCGAGTATCTCGATACTCGAGTTTGGTTTGTGATGAACAGTAATGAGCTTGAGCTCGAGCCGAGCTTGGTTGAGCTTTAATATCGGTGTTCGAGCTCGAGCTCACGAGTATTAAGGTGCGCTTAAGCTCGCTTAAACGAGCTTAAACAAGCTTGCCAGCCTGACGAGTCGAACTCAGCTCGATAGTGTTCATGAGCCGCTCGAACTCGAGCTCGGCTCAATTGGTTTCAAGTTGAATTCGAACTTTCGACGAGCCGAGCTTGAATAGCTCGCGAGCTACTCGACTCGTGTCTCATCCCTAGGTAAGACCTATTATTGGGCAAGTAAGACTTATTACGAGTTGATCAATTGTGAGTTATTTCATCAAAATTGTGAAAAAGAATTTATGAGATAAGTTCTAAGTACAATATTACCCTAAGAAATAAACCCTTTTTGAGGAATATACAAGGACAAATAAGTAATTTTTGGAGTTCGTGAAACCTAGTTAGCCATATGTCTTTCCATTGACTAAACATTAACATGGAGTTGGGTAAGTTTCCATTGCCGGAAACATTTTTGTCTCGACCTTTCTTCATGTATGGGCAACCATTAACTATATGTCTCTCTCTATGTTCTTGATATAATAATATTCACATTCCTATCTTAATATTATTAAACCAATTTAATTTGAAATTTATGAATTTTAATCTCAATTTTGTAATTGGATGCAATGGTGTGCTGTATTCAAAGATTATCTGCTTAAATCTCGATTAATCTTTTGAGGTTCTAAAGTTAACGATCGAGTATATTATTCAGTGATCATCTCTATTAGCAATCGAGGTAACTCAAAGTCACGACTTTAAGTAATAATAAATCTAAAACGTGATTAATATGCTTAAATATTTGCTGCCGGAAACATGTTTTTGAGCAACACAAGTTAATGTCTAGAACATGTTTCAATCTAGGATTGGTGAAAGCCATAAATACAAGATATTTGAGGGTAGAAAATAGTATTAATGAAGAACAAGAAGATATTATTGTAAGGGCCCATTTGGTCGCAGGTAAAAGGTTAGGAGAAGGTGAAAGTTAGGTTCCAAATTTTTAAACATTATTTATTATTATTTGTTGGATGGTGGGGGCTTTACATTTATTACTAGTTAAAAAGGTTGATTGTTATAAGATACCCTATATTAATAATCCTAATTTATTTCTTGTTAGACGTGCATGGATTATTATTTTTTTTTTTCTTAATTATCTAATTCTAGAACTTCGAATTCAAGACGTGTTGAATAATATATCTAAAATTTTTAAACAAACGGTCAAATTAGATAATTGATTAATTAAAATTCATTACTCTTCTTCTTCTTCTCTCTCAAACCAATTGTCAATTTATTGATTGAAACCTACGAAGTCGTTTTCCAATAATTGATGCCACCAATCTTAGCCATGTTTGGCTTATTATTTTTATCCATATTCACAATCTTATTCTCTAAATAATGTTTGGCACATTATACCAAAAATATTACCCTATTTTTTTAATTACTTTTAGTCTCCATAAAGTTATTGATTTCATCAAATACACCCTGAAAAAAAGTTTAAAAATTATCAAAAACACCCCCGTGACCCATACTTGCCAGATTCCGGCAACCACCATCGGTGGTAGCCGGAATCTATACAACGGCCTACCTGCCGACCATAAACGACCGAAAGTTCACCAATCTGGCCGTGAACGATGGCCAAAGAAATGATCGTCGTTGAGGTCAACGACGGCCAAATCTTGGCCATCATTGACTGAAAACAACGGCCATATCTTTGGCCGTCGTTTTGGCCTTTTCTGGCCGTCGCGGCCACAACAGGCCGTAGATCTGACCTTTTTTCGGCCAGATTCGTGGTGGATCTAGCCGGAAAATGCCATAACAATGCGTTACGACACAGATCCGACTGGTCTGTGTCGTAACACGATTTTTCGGCCAGATTCTGGCGGTAGTGGCCGGAATCTGGCACTGCAGGTAGTGGGGGTGTTTTTGTCATTTTATATATTAGGGTATTTAATTAAATTAGCAAACCTAGGGGCTTTTTCATAATTTTTTAAATTTTACCTCGTAATACTCCCCTATCCAACTACCTAATATTATTCTCAAAATCCTATCCAAAATAATAAACCAAACGCACCCCTTATTATTTAAGAATATTTTTTTCTTTTAATTTTATTTTAGTTTACCCAATTAGGGATATCAACTTAATTTACATTTATTGAAATACAAGAATATTACCCATGTTTTTAAATCTTCTATCACATTGCTTTGTTACCAACATTGGGTGGCCTAAACCATCGCTGAGTGGTCTAATAGTGAATTATGACTTTTAGATATATTATTCAAGAGGTCATGAATTCGATCTACTTAGATTGTTAATAGGAATTTATCCGCTTCAGATCTCGGGAGATTAGTTTAGATATGTACAAGCTGGCTTGAACACCCTCAATCACAAAAAAAAAAAAAAACATTGGATAACCTAATGATAAAAGAGCTAAGGGATTCAACATGAATTCTTGGTTCGAGTCCCTTCAAACACTAATAGAGGATTTATCCGGTTGTTTATTTTAGGGTTTTAAGAGATTAGTTAAAATATGCTAAGATCCTATGAGATTAATTGATGTACGCGTAAACTGTTCCGCACACCCTAACCAATTAAAAAAAAAAAAGTTTAAATATTTTCACGGACTAGTAGGGGCGTGAGACAACAAATCTGTCTGCATATACTTAATTAGCATAAAATCAAAATTATTTAATTAATAATAAATCAAAGTGGCAGTGGCAGCTGAATTCATTGCAAGATAAGCTGCGGAGACACGGGAGGGGAAAGGGAGAGAAGAAGAGAAAGAAAGTCAAATTCAGTCGGAATGAAATTCAAATTCAAATTCAACTCTTGTCTCAAATGAAATGAAATGAAAATGAAATTTTTTTTTTTTTTTTTTTTACTATTAAATTCACGCGTCCCCCTCTCTCTCTCTCTTTCTCTCGTCACGAAATCCTTGTCTTAGTCTTCGTCACACACACACTTTTTAGAAAGAGAAAGGTGAAGAAGAAATTAATTAATTTATTGAAATTCCAAGATTAAGATTACTATTTCAAAGTTATTGACTGTGAGAGAGAGAGAGAAAGCGCCTGCTGTTTCTGATATTGTTTCAGTTTCTTCGTCATTTCCGTCACAACCGCTGTGTTGTTGGTTGAAATGGCCGACTGGTTTACGAGGTAATCTGGGTTCTTTATATATTACTTCTTAACCAAGTTGTTTTTGTTTTTTTTCACTTTATTATTTAGTGTGTAATTATGTTTGTGCTTGCTCATTTGCAGAATCTAGTGCTTTGATTTGTGGTGTCGACTGGGTTTTGCTTCAATTGAACTGGGTTAGTCTTGAATTCGAGTTTTACAGATTTCTGAGAATTTTTAGTGTGTTATAGTTTAAGCTGGGGATTTTGATTGGCATTATTGAAAAAATGGGTGACTGTGATGAAGGTAACAGTGGTAACACTGATATGATGCAAAGAATTCAATCTTCATTTGGTACATCATCCTCTTCAATTCCTAAACAACAAACTCTGTTGTCAACGAATCAGCTTGATATACCTCAATTGAACCCGAATCAAATGCGTGCTCGTCACTTTTCACATTTTGCTGCTAATTTTAGTGGTGATAGTAACAAAAGAGTGGGTATACCACCTTCACACCCAAATCAAATCCCACCACTCTCACCATATTCTCTGATCCCGGTGTCTAGGCCTGCGAATCAGCAAATGGGTTCACAAAATTTTAGCCCCGGACCTACTCATTCCCGATCTTTATCTCAACCATCATCCTTCTTTTCACTTGATTCTCTGCCCCCATTGAGCCCATCTCCTTTTAGAGACTCACCATCAACGTCAATTTCAGACCAAGTGTCCACTGATGTGTCAATGGAAGATAGGGATGCCAGTTCGCATTCGTTATTGCCACCTTCCCCTTTTACCCGGGGTAATGCTTCAAGAGTTGGTGAAAGTTTGCCCCCACGCAATAAGCATAGAAGGTCTAATAGCGATATCCCATTTGGCTTTTCGTCTGTGATGCAATCTTCGCCTCCACTTATTTCACCGAGACTTGCTGGTGGTCTGGAGAGGACGATGTCTGGTAGGGAGCATTCAGGGGTTGCTAAGCCGGCGCAGTTGGTTAAGAGGGAATCAAGCTGGGAGAGAGGTGGAGATTGCAATGCTGAAGGAATGGGTGAGAGGAAATCAGAAGGGGAAGTTGTGGATGATTTGTTTTCTGCATATATGAATTTGGATAACATCGATGCGTTGAATTCTTCGGGGACAGATGACAAGAATGGTAATGAGAATCGTGAGGATTTGGACAGTAGAGCAAGTGGGACAAAGACAAACGGAGGCGATAGCAGTGACAATGAAGCAGAAAGTAGTGTCAATGAAAGTGGGAACAGCTTGCAGAGAGGAGGAATGAATTCTTCAGCTGATAAGAGGGAAGGGATTAAAAGGAGTGCAGGGGGAGACATTGCTCCTACAACTAGACATTATAGAAGTGTTTCCATGGATAGCTTCATGGGAAAGTTGAACTTTGGTGATGAGTCGCCTAAACTGCCACCTTCACCAGGAACTCGTCCAGGACAACTGTCACCCAGCAATTCAATTGATGCCAATTCACCTGCCTTTAGCTTGGAGTTTGGGAATGGCGAGTTTAGTGGGGCGGAACTGAAGAAGATTATGGCTAACGAGAAACTTGCTGAGATTGCATTAACAGACCCAAAGCGTGCAAAAAGGTAATTTATCTTTGTGTCTACTGCTTTACCATAATCAGTTGTTGTAATCGTGATACTGCTTTGCATATATCTGTCATTTACTTTGAGTAATTGGTCCATTGTAGGATTTTGGCAAATCGCCAATCAGCTGCTCGTTCCAAAGAACGGAAGATGCATTATATCTCTGAGTTGGAACACAAGGTTCAGACTCTGCAGACAGAAGCTACCACATTATCTGCTCAGTTGACACTTTTACAGGTAAGTACTTGTGGTGGTGATATTTTGCCCCTTCCTTCTTTTTGTTTCTTAAAATTCCTCCATTTTGTCTTCTTTTTCTTTCTACCAGAGAGATTCTGTTGGGCTCACAAATCAGAATAATGAATTGAAGTTTCGTCTTCAAGCAATGGAACAACAAGCGCAACTTAGAGATGGTATTATTCAAATCGTTTGTAAAGTTTTTCAGTTGCATTGAGGGACTCCATCACTTTGACTAGTGTGTTAGAGTAGTATTGCATTCCTGTGTGTGTTTGGCAGTTTGGCTGTTACGTGAACATGCTTTCTTTGAGTATACTTTTTCTATTTTTTTCCCCTTATCCTTCTCTTAAACATCTTTGCACAACATCTGCATTTGAAATTCATGGTAGCAAAACCGGTAAACGACTGTCATATGCCATCATAAATACAATGGTTTTTTAGTGCGCATTTTAGTGCTTGTTTGAGGATAATAGTAGGAAATATTTTCTCAAAAGGCAACTCATGCTTTATTCCCTGTATGTTCTGCTTTGACGGTAGAAGTCAAGTAGTTGTCTTATATCTGTTTTGAATTTTCTGGTTCATTTTTCACGGAATTGCTATTGTCAATTATGGGAATTATGCTGCAGATTACCCAAATGATTAACATGGAAAGTTTTACCTTGATGAAACCACCCGATATGTGGTATACAGTAAGAAAGCTGAGGGAGGCAAGCAGAGGAATTTGGGCTATAGCAAGAAAGATTCTGATGGGTGAGGTGTTAGAGTGAGCTGTTAGATGGGTGAGGTGTTAGGGTGAGCTGTAGGAATTGGTTATGAGATGAACAGATGGCAGTAAAGGAGGGGATAAGGGAATAATTCTGTTAGGGGGAAGAGTGAATAAAAAGGGGAGGCAATTGAGAGAGTGATGATGGGAAAAATTCATATGGATATTGGGGAGGACAGCTGACCCTCGAAGTTCAGCTGGGATGGGTTTTTTTTAATGCTTTATTTGACTAATATAGTTACTCAGTTTATGATTTGTTTCTCATTTCATCATCGCCATTTGCGTTTGCTTATTATCTGTTTCCTTTAAGTAATCAGTTTATCATTTGTTTATCTGTTCCATTTCATTACCGCCATTTCCATTTATTCATCCTCTGTTTTTATTTAAGAACTAGCTTGCTGTTTCATTTAAGAATTGGTTGCCGTATTTGAGTTGTGAACACGCGGGGATCCAACATACCTTCAAGTTGTTTTTAGCCCTAGGTTATTTGTTTTGATTTATGTTTACCTACTCGTTATGTTTTTTTAATAGATGTGAATGTTCAAGTTCCTGTCTTTTTATTCTGTCATCTGTTTGGGTAATTCCTGGCAGAAGAGAAAAGCTTAAAAGATGGATAAATACTTGTGAAAGTTAACTTTGTGAACAAATGGCAGAAATTGTTAGTTGCTGGCAATATGTACTTTCTGTAAGTATGTTTATCTAAAGTTTGTGTAGTAAATAGGAGAATTTGACAACAATAAGTCTGAAGTGGAAAAAAAAATATAAGTGAATTCATGAGAAGCTAAAGTTCATCTCAGTTGGAGCAAAGCAAGAAAATCATTGGGTATGACTTAGTGATGAGAATGGTTTATGTAACCAATATTTAGACCAACGACTACTTTAAACGAGAATTGCTTATTTGCCATTTGAAATTCTATTTTCTTTTCTCCTCACTTTCTTATTAGCTGGCTAATGAAATTAGTTCATTTCTTGTTGAACGAGGTTTCATTTGCTCGTTTTTCCTTAGTGATCCTAGGTTTCTAGAATTTGTTCAGCACTAGAAAGGTCATTGATGTTTACGTGGAAGTTGATACTCTGTTGGGCATAATGGTCGTAGAGCTGCTTTCTCTACATAAAATTTTGATGCATTGCTCAAGCACAATTATAATTTTCAGGCTTCCCTAAAAAACTTTAAAGTGTACTAAAAAAGTGTTTGATTATGACAGCTCTGAATGAAGCCTTAACTGCGGAGGTTCGACGGCTGAAAATTGTTACTCAAGAACTTCCTCGGGATTCTGATCCTTCCAAGGGCATGGTCTCACAGCAGGTTCCCATGAACTCCCAGATGTTCCAGCTACACCCACAGCAGTCTTCTCAACAGAACATGCATCAGTTGCAACAGCAGCATCAGCAACCTCATTCCCAAGTCAACTATCATCAGTTGCAATCACAGCAGCCACAAGCACAACAGCAGAATGGGAGCACAACCGCAAAACCTGAAACAAATCAGTAGGTTGGGAAGGGCAGCAATCCCTTGTGAGTCTTTGGCACATGAATATTTAGTAGTAGTTTCTTCAGCGCATTCATTCATTAGTTTTGCATCTCTCCACCAAAAGTCTCTGGGCGTGGTGATTACAAGTTCTACCTCTGCATCTGACATCCATCTCGGATTGTGGTATGAAGTCATACACAAACTATAATATTTATATTATTCATATTTATAGTGTTTATTTATTTATGGTAGATATGGAAACATTATTTTGAACATATTTTGTTCTGTTATGACATTAGAAGAGTTGAACTACACTCTTCCGTCTTTGTTTATTTAAGTAAAGAATGGTAATTTTCTTGAATTGTATTCACTTTTAATTTTTCTTTTATCTTTCTGGCTGGTTTACTGGGGAAGAAAGGCAGTTTCTGTTATTTCCGTTCTGATAGCAACAATGTACATTCCCAAATGGCAGGTGGTTCTGATTGATGTTTGTCTATATAATTTCAAGTTATGGTGGCCCAAAGACGTTTTTAATTTTGGATTTTTATCATTTTGACATGTAGACCATATAGTATGAGTGTATGACTTACTGATTTGTTCCTTTGACATTCAATTGGCCATTGGGGGTGTTTCTGTAAAGTCTTGCACTTGACCTTTGATATGTGTGAAGGCGGTAATTTGGGTGCTAGTTTGGATCACCTTCTTGCATCGCCCTTGCCCCTTAAGCATAGAGCCCCCAAAAGGGCCAAAACATGACTAAATGAGCTCAAGAGATCATGTGCTTGTATGGCAACTTGAAGAAAGTAACTTTTTTCTTTTCTGCTTCAAACGAAATGGAGAAGAAAAAGAAGAAAGAAACAACATATATATGTTATGTTTGGTGTTCACTTAGAAGCTCAACTCAATTATTGATGGAGAAACCTTNACCTAGAATGAATCAAAAAATCTGCAATTGTCTAATTCCTTTTTTCTTTGTATTTCTGCTTTTACTTATTAAGACCTTTAATACCTAGTTCTTTGTATTTCTTTGAACATGGTTGCCTAGAATGAATCAAAACCGGCTGATCCGGGGACTGGCTCTTGACCGGGTCAAGGCCTGGTTCAGGTTTAAAAACATTGGCTCAAAACAGAATATGAATTGTCAGACCTCTCTAGTTCGGGATTTGATCTGCCAATTGTCAACAATCCACCAACTCTCAAGTTCCAATCAATTTACTATCTCACCCGCTAGTTACAGCTTTTGAGAATGGAGTGAATTCTAAGGAAAAGTTTGATGGTAACAGTTACGAGGGTAAACCACTGTAACGGTTTTTAAGGTTTTTATCAATGGTTTTTAAAATACTTAATTTGTGCTTAAGAGTTTATTTTTTGACGGTTTTGACAGTTTTTTAAAATGATGAGTTCATCTATATGCTCATAAAAATTCTTCAACTTCAATCAGTACTTGAGAGTTTTGTGTTTTCAATTATAAGGTAAGAGTTATTTATTTATTTTGTACTTATTAGTATTTTATAACTTTAAATATAATAAAGTTTTCTTATCATTATTCGTCATTCTTTGCAGCATCTGGAATGATTGAAAAGTTGTAGCTTAACTTCTCCAAAAAAGAATCTAGAAATTATGAGATTTTAATAATTTTTTTTTTTTATGATGATTGTTTAAAATTATTTTATATTTAATATAGTTGAAGACGTGTATGATATGGTTAATTTTTTTTTTTTTTTTTATATATAATTGGGTTAGTTTTGTAATGGATAGAGTATTTGTGAAATAAAATTTTAACATCAATCAAAACATCTCAATTTAGGGTATTTTGTAAACCCTTAAAAAATACAATATAGTGGTTTTGAGGTTTTTTACGCCAGTCAAAACTAATGCATCAAAAATTTGGTAAGTAATGAATTTAAAACAATTCAAAACCAATCTAATTAAAAATCCTTTAAAACCAGTGAAAAAAAAACCTAAGGATTTTCTTAAGTGGGTGAACCATAATTTGCTCATCTTGTCTCATAAGTAGGGATGAGACACGAGTCGAGTAACTCGCGAGCTATTCGAGCTCGGCTCGTCGTAAGCTTGAGTTTGAGTCGAAATAAGTCGAGTCGAGCTCGAGTTCGAGCAGCTTGTGAACAGTAACGAGCCGAGTTCGATCTGAGCTGAGCTCGGCGGCTCGTCGAGCTCGTGAGCTTAAACGAGCTTGGAGGCCAATTTGCAAGATTTCAAAAGTTTTGTTTTTAAGTTGTCAAAATTACAAACAACACCTATGACCCATTCACAGACAAAAACTCAAAACCCATTTCAAAGCTTAAACAAAAACTCAAAACCCATTGCAAAGCTCAAACAAAAACTCATCTCTTTCACCTTCATTCATCCTCGGTTCTATTCGAGCTTAGAATGTAAAAGAAAAATAATGAAGGAGAAAATCTGAAGGAGCAAAAGAAGAAAGAGAAGAGGAGGTGAGAATAGAGAAGAGAATATGGAAGAAGTAAAGAAGAAAGAGAAGAGAATGGGGAGAAAGAAAAAAAAATACAGACGAAGGAGAAGATCTGAAGAAGTAAGAAAAGAGAAGAGAAGAGACGGGGAGAAAGAGAGAAAAAAAAAGTTGAGGTGACAAAATGAGGTGATAGGTGAAAAGAAGAAAGAGAAAATGAGGGGAGAAAGAGAAAAAATAAAATAAAATGAGATGACATTGATAGGTGAAAAGAAGAAAGAGAAAATGCGGGAAGAAAGAGAAAATATAATAAATTATTGAGCTCGGTTTTGAGTGAGCTCGAGTTCGAGCTCAAGTACCATTCCAGACTCACGAGCTCGAGCTCGAACAGGAATATTAAAGCTCGATTGAGCTCGGCTCGAGCTCAAGCTTGCTATTGTTCATCACGAGCCGAGCTCAAGTACTGAGATACTTAACTCGGCTCGGTTCGTATACATCAAACAACACCATTTATATGAAAATGTGCAGAACATTAAATCTATTCAACCATCAAAGTCACATGGGAATTATAAAAAAAATCATCAACAAATGACTTCTATATTTGCCGTAAGAAGCAGTTCAGTTTCGAAATTCAAAACTTTGACCGCCTTGTGCAGTTGTGCCACCAAAAACTATAATTTTGGGCCAAGATCAACGCATGTTTAAATATATCAAAGAATAGGAATACTTTTATGTAAATTTTTTTGTTTTAAGAGTTATGGAGTTGGTGGCCAACTAAAAGGGCATAGAATCCTTTTCTAAAGGCTTAAAGCCCACACACTAATGAAAAGAATTTGATGGACTAAAGGCCCAAGTTTATAATCAACATAAATAAGGAGGTGGAGATGTAAAAATACTTATAGAACATCTTGCCACCTCATTTAGATGAGATGTTGAGATTATATAATGAAATAGTGGTATATATTGTCACATTTATGCCAAATTTTTTCTTTTATCCACCTATTAGTATCACTGATCAGTAACTACTTTAACCGATTCATCAATTACAGCCACCATGATGGTTATGAAAACTAATTCTATATATCACCATTTCATTATACGGTCTCGTCACATCATCAAGATGAGGTGATAAGATTGTCTCATGTAAGTTTTTCTCGTGGAAATGAGGCGAAGGAGAGAGAAAGAGAGAAAAAAAAAAAAGAATAGAGAAAGGGCAGAGAAAAACCACGAAGGAAAGAAATATAAAAAGGAGAGGAGGAAATCAAAGGGAGAAGAAAAAACACAATACAAACTTGAACTTCCAACAAATAAATTGAAAATGTGAAGAGAGTACCCACATATGTAAATCGAACAAATCCTTACAGAACACGACATTTTTATTTTCCTTTATTACAAGAATATTGTCTACGCTTATACATCATCAAATGATAAGTCAAATCTACCCAATTTCTGCTCTGTTATTTCATCCAAATGCTCAGCC